GCGTTTTTGTGAAGCTCTAAAAATTACAACTACAACATTTGAACACAAAAATAATAAAGGTTAGATAAACAAAAGCAATATAGCCAAACCTGGCCAACATGTTGAATCCTAATTTACATCTTGGTCACTGTATGTGTTCCTCAATTCGAAGTATAGACATTCAGATTAGAAAATAATAACTGTTTATGGAAGAAGTTACGATCATATACCAATATCACTTAAAACTGGTTCATAGGCACGCCAGGGGCGAATATGGAACAAATATAGGACATTAAAAGAAATACAGAACATTTGGCGTCCCGTATAAAGTAAATAAATTACCAGCACAATTCGTCAAAAACAGGACTATCCCGTATAAAATAGGACGGATGGTAGCCGTAAGTATATGTATTGTACGTAGTGTTGCCAGAGAAAAATTTCATTTGGAGCTATAACGGTCGAAAAAAGAGCTAAAAGGAGCTAAATAATATTAATAGTAGCTAAAATGAAGAGCTACATACTTTTTTAATTTTGAGCATTTATCGACGTAAGGTTGATTTTACATTTTCGGCAATTCTAATAAAAACAACGAATTTTATAAGTTTAAGTGCTGAAAAAATCTTTTGAAACCCAAATAAAGTGCATATATTTCAAATTCGTTGCTATGGCTGTGAACTAGGGCTGTGCGATTATTCGATTATTCGAGCAAGTNACTTTACAAACTGTTAAAGTCTGTAATTTCAGATATTTGAATTGAATATTTTTTTCGCAAAATTTTTCTGGAAAGTTTTACTTCCAGCTCTTTTTAAAGGTAAAACTAGTAAGGTAAAAGAATATCCGCGCTATCAGAAAAAGTATTTAATTAACTTTTGAATTCTTTAACCTAGATGCAAGAGTTTATGGTGGATACCCTGCATCTGGAAATTTTCCATTTTATCAACGCTTTAGTTTAGCTTATACATACCAAATACAACTAAAACTTTCTGGAGCTAAAAAAGTGCTAGATAAATTTGAAAAAAGCTAAAAAAAAGAGCTAGGATCTATAACCCAATTTTCGGAGCTAAATAAAAAAATAAAGAGCTAAATCTAGCTCCAAAAGCACGAAAATGGCAACACTGAATGTAGGAAGGAATACAAAATTTTGTAAAGTTGCGATTGTCAAACATAATTTTTATACCCGAGCGCACTTGTGCACAAGGGTATATTAATGGTATATAATTTGGTAACCATGTTTGCTTAGAATCGAACGTGGCACTCGAATATGCCATACGCTTTTTGCAAAATTATATTATTCCCCCCTAATATACCTACTGGAGTTTTTTTTTCATATAAGTACAATTTTTACACTACAAGGCGGACGAACCTAAGCGAAACTAACGCTTCTTTCTTTTCTACTGAAAAATGTTGCCTTCTCAGCCATCGTTGGACCATTTGGTCCATTTGAGCCAATTTGGAGTACACACACAATGCTCCTCTGTAGTGCAGTAGTAGCAAAAACTGAATGCCTTTGTTCGACTGTCGACTAATATTATCCTTGTTTGGGGTCGGCCATTAAAATGACTGACTTTAGGTGATAGCCATATTCTCAAAATATTAATGTATGTATATACATTTTACAGCTATAGTTATCTTATCAGTAAGACGTACATGCTGTTTTTTTTGTTACGATCACCTGAGAAAGTCACCCGTACAGTATAAAATTCAGCACTATATAGGACCAAAGTCTAAATTTTAAGGTACTTGTATTACACTGTGGAACACCAACTTTGAGTCCTCAGCGAAATAATGTGTGTTTATATGTACTTTAGTACATAAAATCTTATGAATGATTGATTTAAAACATAACTCTTGTCTTCACAGACCTATAGTAATATTTTGTTTATTTCGTAGAAAATTTTAACCCGTTTTCTCTGACCGTAATTGGTCTTTTTAACTCTTATTTGGAAGAAGTTTTGGGTGAGTTCCTAAAAAAGGGAAGTTGGAAGGTTAAGATGTTTTACAAAATTAGTAAGCAATTGTCTTAGTAGGCGTTGATATATATTTATAATAGGTGTAATATTATCTAAACGAATTTTTCTCTGCCGAGACCTATAATTTAATTTAGCTAGTGGTTTTTTGTAAGCAAAATTTTTCCATTGAACTGCTCCCATTATGGTTTTTTGAAAATTTGTTTGAAGAAAATCATCAAAAGAAACAGCTAAGGGTTAACATTTTTTGTAAAAGGTTAAGCGGCATTGAGTTCATTAAATGTGTGTATGTAGGTTTCTATCTTGAGTAGTACCATTATAAACGTACAGTGGTGGGCGAACAATTAGCGACGTGACATTTTAACAAGTTGTGGATATTTTCCTTCTACTTATTTAATGTTTATAATTATTTTGGTAAAAAATATAGCTCATTATTTAACAAAAACGATATAAGTCAAAGCATAAGATATGAATATAGCATATGAATATAGGGCAATATACCTTTTTATATTCAGAAATGGTTATTACTTACATGGCGCCTTTGCTGGATCAAGTACAAATACAGTGGTGCCTGCAATACTGGATCCCTCTTCATTTGGAGCCAATTTACGATTGCCACCTTTGCTTACACCACCCGCGCCGGCCAAAGCGATCTGTTTGCAGTCCTCATCATCCATACAACGACCATAACATTGTATCACATCGCATTGTAGATGCACTTCGGAGCCTGGTGTGGTGAAAAATTAAAATGGAAATTAAAGATTTATCTAAGTATATCAATAAATTAAAAATATTTAAGGTTTCACACCTTCTTTTATAAGAAAAGTATTCGGATCACAGCTAATCTAAAGCATTCGTGTAAACAGTTTTTTCAATCGAAAGTCTGCTAGGAATAGAAAGCAACGTCGCAGAGATTCTTAACATTAACGACCAATGGGACATATTCATAGTTCCAAAAAATTTGTACACCTTTGCAGACAAAAAAAAATATACAAAAAATAAAAAATTGGCGACACTTTTGTGGGGTCGCTAAACTCGAATCAGGTGTGAAATCTTTGAATTTAACAACAGATCAGTAATGGTCGTCATAGGGTTAATATATACCCAGAAACAAAGTCAGCTAAAAGTATTTGGTTATAGTCTCCAAATCATGTGTTGAAAGGAATATATCTAGCGAACTTTTTCTGAGTGTAGAAAAGCCCTAACTCATTTTCTTTCGAAATTCAACTTTGTACAAAGGTTTCGAGATTACTCACTAAAGGCCTTAACATATACTTTTTAGATAGCGCCTTTCTATAATATAGAATCTATATCAAGTTAACTATATTCTTATTTATAATTGAAAAAGCTTCGCTGAAAGTGCTTAGCGAAAAAATTATATGGTAAAGTAAAGTTAACCAAAAAAAAACGTGTGAAAATTTTTATTTTAAAACTCTCTTTGTTCAAGAAACAATTTGTGTTTATAGTCTTACCTTCTGGAAATTTGAACATCGAATTAAGTGTCGCTTCAGCGCTGTGCCCATCAGGGCTTGGCAAAAAACGAGAAATAATAGCCTCATCCACGGGACAGCTGTGAATATACATAAGCATGAAAAAATATGAAAAATTATCTGAAGCTGATTTTTAATTTTTACATAGTGTGAATACTAATTAATAAACATTTGTACTACATAACAAAATAAAAGCTATGCCAGATTATATAAGTATATATTACAACTCACCCTCTGTCATCAATTAGCGGTATACTGATATTCTTCTTGTCAAAAGCGAAACAGTTTGCGACTCTTATGCCATAGGTACCTGAAGATGAAAATAAAAACAGTAAATGAAATAAGTATCATTCTCCAAGTAAATAATATATTTACGCATCGGAAAGGTTTTAATAACAAAAACCGTTATGTGCAGAATGCAATTAAAAAATTAATTACCATTTGGCTTCGTTAATTCTGCGCGGATTTTATACTCATGGCCATAAACCGTTTCACGTACACGACGATCATTCTCCAAGAACTTCAAGATGACATGCGCATTGTCATCGCTGGTCACAGCGAAGCGAACGAAATGGAAAATAGAAAAAAAAGAGTAACAAAAAAGCATATGAATAAAATGCTGGTAAATCAGAATAGCTATCTGGTATTATAATTTCGAATTAGAACTTTTTAAGCTACTCCTACTGCAGGGACTGTTAAAAAACTTCGTTTTTTTTTTTCATTTTTACATGCTACAACTGCGTAGAGTGTTGCGGAGCTGTAATACGTATTTTGTTATGAAATTTATGTAGCAACAACAACAACGACTATTGCAGCAGTATGCAACTGGTAATTAAATGTACGCAATTACTGCGGCCTAAGCCCGCTAACTTTTTTGTGGTTTCTACCTGCAGCATAAGAATTATGTAATTTTTGTGCAATGAAAACGAGAATGCGGCAAGCGAGTTGAACGCACTCCGATGTTACAGATGGGCAAATAGTTAAATGTTACTAAAAGTTGCGGAAGAGCGGATCATGACAAAAGAAAGATGCAAAACAATTATATTAAAAACCATCAAAAACAAAAAATCATTTATGAAAACATGCAACACACACACGGAAATAAGCTAAAGCAAGCATACATATGCACATACATACTTCACAGGCAGTGCAACGCCATCGCCGCCAGCGCATTTTAGCAATTTAACAGAGCATAAAATTTGAATGAAATTGAATAATAATAAAAATTTTATCTATTTTTTGTGTGTTGGCAATTTTGCGAATGCACGCAAATGTGACTGGCAATAAAGTGGAAATTGAACAGAGAGCAATGGCTGCATTGCCTAACAACAAAAGACTTAAGCCACAAACCTGAAAAACGAAAATCCTCTACGTTGTGGTTTCGATATTTTGATGACTGGCTTTAGCCACAGTGCGAACAAATCAATCAACTTCCTATGAAAAGAAAATTCAACAATAAGTGCGTGCGCTTATTTCAACTCAATTGAATTTTCTTTTGTAAGGGGAAAGACTTAGCCGACCTTGCTTTCAACACTTTTCGCCAGTTTATTCGCCTTACAAAGAAGAAAGAAAGTGACGCTCAGTAGCATGTGGAACGCATAAAGCATAGCAAGCTAATAGCCCCGCACATTCCATTTTGATTTAATGCTTACGCTCTTAATAACTTCAAAGGGAGCATAGACTATTTTTCATATACATATTTTGGCACACATCAAAGTCATACTTTTGCGGCTGATCACACAATTCCAATATTCGACAAGAACTATTTTGTCTAATTGACTGGCCTTGATGTTGAAGTCATTTGCTTGGTTAAGAAAAAAAATGTTTTAAATTTTTTGTTTGTTATCTTTTTGTTCGCCAACTTAACGCCAACGCACGCAAACACATGCTTTTTTATGTAGGATTAGATTTATGCGCTCTGGGGTTCTTATTTCTATACACAATAAAATTTCGCATTAGTGTCAAGCGAACAGATGTATGTATAGATGCATGTATAGACATTAGGGTGGTCCTTAAAAAAATGAAATGAAAGACGATCACCTAAATCACGCATAAATTTTGGTCCCGATTGTTTAAGGCGTGTCGCACAGGCAACAAAGTACCGATTCCTCTATGAAGGCTCAAAAAATTAAAATAATAAAATAGCGTAGCTAAGTATGGGATTTGTAGAAAACTGAAACGGACTATCGCGATATGGCCTTCAAAATTCGAATTTAGTTCGAAAAATTCTTTCGCTTAAAGCCAAAAGGGTGTTATGATGTTTATGGGCGTTTCATATATCAAAAATATAATCGATCCTTTTAGCTTTAACATGGTTTTGAGGTGAACGTTTTAAAATGGTATGCTTAGTAGAAATCGCGAGAAAATCCAAACCATGACAAGTCAGACCTCTCAAAAAAAAAAAATTTTTTTGTTGAAAATAATGTCTGTTCCAGCTTATTTTTAACTTATTAGTGCAGCCTCTTAATGTCGTGAACGAAATCCGCCCGGTTTTAGAAAGAACACCTCTTATTTGATTTTATGATTTTGTTTATTTTGAAACTTTGCATTGTTTGTCAAGCAACATACCGACGCCCATTTGCATGTGTGCTTTTATCTAAATGAGTACGAGTATAAATAAGTCACTTTTGTGTCAGCCTAAGCCCACACTCATCGAATAAGTTTGAATAAATATGTATGTATGTGTGCCTAGCCTTTTGTTTGAAGTGAATTCAAGTAAAGTTGTTGGACAATGATGTATAAACGCATATACATACACTGCCGGAACAGAGTATTGGCACAGCAAATTTTTAACAATGTATGCAACAATTTTATTCTAATATTTTTCCGCCAATTTTGAATAAAAATATGGTTCATTCTATTACAAGAAATATAAAAATATTATAATAAAATTGATTGGGCTACAAACCTGCATACTCAAAAAAATTCAAAAAAATCTGATTAAAAAGTTGAACATTTTCATGAAAATTTGCTGAATTTTCGCGAGTTTTGCACAAAGTTTAGGAATAATATTTTTACGTTTTTTGTTGTAGAATGAACCATGTTTTTATATGAAATTAGCGGAAAAATGTTAGAATGAAAATTGATGCATATATTGTGAAAAATGTGCTGTGCCAATACTTTGTTGCTTTTTTTTGGAAATTTCAAGACCCTTCCCCCAAATTTTATTCGATTTTATTAGAAATATTATTGCCTATTTTATAGATATTTCAAAGATCATTCAGAAGTCGCGACCTGTCGACTTAGGTCAGAAAATAAGATTTTGTAGATTTATGAGTTTTTGAATGACTAGTTTTGATTAGATTTCAACAGATCGAATGTGATGTGAGAAGAGGATAAATATGCCTTTAAAATGGTATAGAATAATCTTTTGTCGGACTTGGCAAGTTCGAATTTTTTATCGGGTAATATAAAAAAAAAAAACATATTTCTGTTAATTTTTTGAATTTCGACCATCGATAATTTCCACACTTTCAAAATATGTAGTCTATCTAAAATCTCTAAAAATAGGCAATAATATTTAACATAAAAACGAATAAAATTAGGGGGTAGGGTCTTGAAATTAATTTCTTCATGATGCAATGGGACCACCTATCCTTTAAAAAAATTATTATTAAAATCGGTTAACGAGGACCAAAGTTATGCGGTAGCATACATAAGAAAAAAGAATATTCCGACGAATTGATAATCTATCCCTTTTTTGAAATCGATTGAAAATTACGATCCATATTCCCAAATTTACCTTGACGAAACCATATTCATTAAAATATCTAGCAACTTTCCTCTCCAATAACACTTTTTCCCAGGTAGAGTCTGAAAGCCCTTGACAATTTTATCAACACAAGGAGTGCTTGTTACTGGCGAAATTTGGTGCTTTTATAGTGTTTTAAGGATTCTGAAGATTTTTTTTGTATTCGTCCTCATACTAGTCATGGTATTCACTTTCGTATTTCGTCTTCGGATCATATTCGTATTCGCACCTATATTAGTGTTCGTTGTCATCGTCGAGTTCTTCTTCGTATCTATATTCGTCGCCGTCGCCGTCTTCGTATTCGTATTCACATCCTTATTTGTCGAGTTATTTTCGTATTTATCTTCATATTCGTATTCTCATTCGCCTTATTTTAGTGTCGTTTTTGTATTCGTCTTCGCAATCATCTTCGTATTTCTTTTCTTCGTATTCATCTTCGTCGTCGTATTCCTCTTCCTCTTCGTCTTCATATTCATGTTTCTATTCGTATTTGTGTTCATATGCATACGGCTTCGTATTTGTTTTGATCGGGATCCCATCTCCAAGGTGTGGCACTCATCAGAATTATAAGGCAACTGATGTATTTTTAGCTCACTTCTCGCTTCCTGAATAACTTAAAAGTTTGGTCAAATTTTGGCGCGTACAACTACATATATACATAGAAAGTATAAAATATCGGGCATTGGACGTTCACATAGAGCAATGTATTATGGTTTATAAGATCCGACGACTTTTAAGAGAAAAGGATTCAAACATTTTGTCAAAGTCCGTTAGGCATCGCGGCTATTCACGATTTGTTATAAATTATCCATTAAAATTCAGTTTTTATCCAAAATTAAAACATCTTACGAAGAACTGTTACAGATATTATTTAAGGTGTAGCACAAAGCATGCTGGGTATAAGCTAATTTTTGTTTATAAGAATAACAATTTTGCCTAAAAAAGGATTTTTTTACATATTTTCAAAATTTTCGCAATAACTTTTCGCCCTCTACAATTAGAGTCCTAAGGGCACGTACCGAAACGGCTAAGCATTGGGCCATTAAGTTACACACATACGGCGCGATCCAGTACACGTCTTTTTCATAACCACTTCGAAAATAGTTCGGGACTATTTCAGTATAATTTCGTAACTAGTTCCGAACTATCTCGAAATTACCCTAAACTATTCCCAAAATTGTCCTGAGGTGGGCCTGAAAAAGTCGTGAACTTGTCACGAAATGATCTCGAACAAGTCTTGAAACTGTGCCGAAGTAGACCATTACTAGTCCAAAAGTGATCTCAAACTAGTCCGGCAATGCTCCTGAACTAGCCCCAAATTATCACGAACTAGTCTGGAAATATTCCTGAACTATGTCGCCAACTATTCTCAACCAGTCTTAGCTAATCCCGAAATGAACCAGACCTAGTCCTAAAAGAGTCCTGAACTAGCTACTAATGGTTCAGAACTAGTCCCGAAATGGCAGTCCGGAGCAGGTCTCGGAATTTTCCCGAACTCTTCCCGAAATGTTCTTGAAATAGCCTTGAACCGACCCCAAAATCTCGAATAAGTCTCAAAACGGTCCTGAAATGGTCTATATTGATCCTAAAATGATCCTTGAACTAATCTCAAAATTATCCCGAACAAGTATCTACTGCAATAGTTGTGAGCAAGCTTCGCAATGGTCCATAACGAGTCCCTAAAATGGTCCTTAAAATAGTCTTGAACTAGTCCCGAAGTAATCCAGAACAGAACTATAAACGTTCCCGAAATGATCACGAACTGGTTGGTTAGTCGTTGTGCTACCCAAGTTGACACTTAGGATGCAATTAGCGCATAAAAATGCCATTTTGGTGCACCTCTCGTGGACAATGACATTTCATTCTACCGT